CCTCCTGCTCCTCCTCCTCCTCCTTCTTTCATCGCAATGCATTCCATCCGCCTCTACCCTCTCCCAACCCATAACATGTGCAAAGGCCTCACCACCTACCCCACTCTCCCACACACTCCAGCACATCCACTGAGCAGACATCGAATGAGCAGAGTTGTGCCATTGGGTGAGACCGACGCCTACCATCAGCGAAGACCTTTACTCCACTCTACGAGGTGGGCAGAAGTGTCAACAGCATTTTTCGAAGGTGGAGATACCGTCACCGTGGACACCCTTCCCCTCGACATGCTGTCCTTCGCATTGACGAATGGGTGCAACGAAAGATCCACCTCACGATGCAACTGCTACCCGCACTGGAAGATGCAGGGAAGGTGGGAGAGGTGGAGGGAAATGGGGAGTGGGTGAGTGGGTGGAGGGTGAGATGCGCATGGAGAAGGAGGGAGAGGGTGATGAGGTGTTTGGCATCAGACAGAGTGAGAAGGCATACCTCTATCTGGTGAGAATTCGGTTTCTGCTACTCTTTATACCACATGGAACTGTAGCGTCCATCGAGTAGGAATGTGGCAGAGAGAACAGTGACGTCACTCTTGCGTGCGTGTACGTGTGTGCGATTCGACACGATAGGTCAATTCCAATTAACTGTGCAACTTCAAGGACCGAACTTTATCTTCCAGTACGTAAAGGCGTCTAATGCACCACCGATCGTTGGAAAATGAGATTTAGCATTAGTCTGCAGTGTTAGCTTTCTCGCCTCCCTCGGTCTCCCAGGCTAGGGCACACGGGTTCTGCCTCCTTCCTCAGCCCGCCCCTCCTAATGCAGACATCACTTCTCAAGTTGACTGCTAGTGCCTCACCAATGATGCTGCATTTGCCAGCGCAAGGTGGTGCACAATACCAGGACTACACCCCTTCCTTCCCTTCCATTTCACAGTCAAAACACTAGTGATGCTAATTCACCCACACGTGTGTTAGCACATGGTGTAGGGGAGTGCGTTGCGAACAATCAAATTACTCCACTTCAAACTGCTAGTTGAAGACACTGTCCGTCGCTCATGAGGGTGGGCTTGTTTGCATTGGCGAGAGTGCCTTGTCGATTGTGTGCGACTGCGGTTGTAGGCATTTGGACTTGGAGCATCCAACGCCAACACTTTGCCGAAGACTCGAGCCTACTGACAAAACAAAGCTGTGCCCTCCTCCCTCCCTCCCTCCCTCCTTCCCCAATAAACCAAATGTGCTCACAAGGTAGTGCTATCAGAGGGTGTTGGCAAGGAGACCAGCAGGTTGGTGGGAGAGTATTCTGTGAGAGAAAGAAGGAAGGTGGGAAGGGTTAAGGAACAGTAGAGGTAAGTGAGTTGGAGGTGAGAGGTGGGGAGTAAGCATTGTCGTTACAATAGACGCAGTTGTAGTCGTGGCTTCACCGCAAATCTTTCGCAATGCGTTGGGGAGTCTTCGTGCCTTTCGTCTGCGTCACTCTAGTCCTCCCTTCACTGCAGCCTTTTCTACTGCCATGCCAGACAACATTCTACCACTCTCATGCTTTTCTTCACGACTCTCCTTGTCACCGCCGTTGTCGAGACCCTCGTTACCGTCGCGGTCGTCAACGTTGTGGTTGACTTCATCGTCTCCTCTATCGTCACTCCCTCTCTCCTCACCACTATCACCTTCGTAACCACCATCCTTCCCGTTGACACCCTCACCGTCATCCTCCACACCTTCGCTCACTTCCTCCTTCCCATTGACCTCCATGTCGGAGCCAAATTTGTCAGTGTCGTCCCCAACGTCAGCGTCTTCCATCTCGTGGTGGTCATTGTTGTCATTGACATCCCTCTCATCGCCACCTCCACCTGCACTTGCATTTGCACTTTCACGTCCGCCACCACTTGCGCTGCCTTCAGTAACATCGGTGTCATTCGCGTCAACACCTTTGCCGCCCTCATGACCAGATGCGATGCCATCGTGACCCTCCACGTCTATCTCGCCTCCACTCACCTTATCACCCTCGACATCAACACCACCTCCACCATCCAGCAGGTGTGAACTCTCCTCTGTGTGCTCCGATTCCACACCAACAGTCACTGATGAGGTCGGTCCGTCGGCTGTTGGAGGTTGCTCAGTGGTTGTCATGTTGGCATCCACTGCAGCCACGCCTTCATTGACAACGGGCAATGACTGAGCACCAGACACAAGAAAAACCAATGTCAGCACCACAACTCCTCCCCTCCACTCCATCATCCAACACCGTGCAGCAGACCACAGTACAGCGCAGAGACGTAGCACTCTCAAACCCACTTCCCTTATACACTTCTCCTCTCTGCCTTGACAACCCACCCACCAATTAGAACGGAGCAGCGAGGTTCGTTGCTGTTGGATACCAAGGCTGCCCATACATTAATGCCATTCAGTTGTATACTACTTTCTAGGCAACTATTAACTCTACTTACTACCCTACTACCTTACTGCTTATTCGCCTTCCGC